GCCCCAGTCGACCAGATTCCTTTGTCTTCAATCCAAGCACACCAAAGCACAGTAACTGTATACCCATATGGCAATGCGTTTGTGTAAGAAAAATATACATATTTATTTACAACTTTATAAACCTTAATCTCTAGCTTCCGCTAACTGTCGTCCGCGCGTTCATGAGGGAGTGGCTACCATCCACTCCCATTATAAAGCATGGATTAGCCTGGACATTATTTAATATAACTCCGATTGTATTCGTCTGAATGTCGTACACACCTAGGATGGCTTGAGGGTGAGTAAATCATGGGGTAATTTTCATTTTTGGGTGAACTATCCCTTTAAATTACCAAAATAACAGTAGATACATAGTTAGCAGTGGCGGCTCGTCGGGGGAGGCAGGGGAGGCACAGCTTCCCCAACATTTTGAGGTGAAAATGGGAGGATGATTTAATGTTAATAAAATTCACAATTCATGTCTCAGAATGTGTATTTTTTGTTTGTAATTTCACAGCTGTAATACCATAACATGTTACTGAAGTTGGAAAGCGCCGCTTTTCTATCGCGAATATGCCGAATCTGCTGATGTAATTACAACCGCTAAGTGATAGAGAAGGGGAGGGAGAGGCCGGGGAGAGCTGAGTTCTTGTGCCTCCGTTGGTAAAAAAAAATTACTTTTACTTAGTGTTCACTTTCAGCGCTGAGGAGTGTTGAGAAAAGAAACCTCGTAGGGGAGGATAGCCTCCCTTCTGATACCAACCAATCATCATAGAGACATAAATTACGTGATATTAGTTTGAACATCTCCAGCTGCGCTGATAATGTAACAAGTACTTATGATGAGTAGCAATATTGAATATTTGATCTCCAACAGATTTACCAAGCTGTCATTCAAACAGTATATATACAAATTACAGGGATCCCCAGACCAATACAATTAGTGTGCCTTCTCTATTTTAAAACCCACGAGCCGCCACTGATAGTTAGTGGTATTTGCTCTTTCACTATTGTCTGTTCTAAACCTCCAACCCCAAGTAGTTACCGTTTGTGTTGAACAATACCTCAAATCTTGCAGCTTGTTGAGGAGAGGTGAGCTGGAACACACCAAAATGACTTTTGCCCAGATTTTTGCCCCAGTTTGAAGTCTGGATGAGTCACTACTAGCCAAATGTCAGCGACAGTATGATTTTGGGCAGCTGGAGTTGACATATCATAAAAAAATCTTGTAGTGCATGATGGGCACACACTTTGAATTTTTTAGCTTCAGGCTATGATCCCATCCAGTCGGAGGATATCAAATGTATTTGATATATTGAGTTTCTTTCGGAACACACTGAATTGTATGATGCCCCGTTTTAACTGACTTAACGACACTTACCTCCAACTCCAGCTGAGTTTGTTGTGTTTGGAATGACTTGAAAGTCTGGTAGTATGTGATCTTCAGTTGTTTAGTGTATGATGCTTCAAAAATTGGTCTAAAATCATCTAGTGTACTCCAGTCTAAAGTTACCTGATTTGCAGTTGTTTTTACTTGGTGACTTGCATTAAAGGAAGAACCCAAGCCATATCTAGGGATCAGAACAGCATAGAGACTTGGGAGGTGGGCTCTTTTGACTTGGACTAGTAAGTAACCAACTCACAATCACCTTGCATTACGGTGTCATCTTTTGCACAGGAACTTTTCTTTTCTGAATATGTAAAAAAAATCTTTTAATTACATTACCCAAATCATTCCATAATGACACACCTATTTGTCATTAGACCAGTTTCCTCTATAAGATTCCTGGAGAGGAAGGTTTGCCTGGAAGACTGCTGTAAGAACATGGGATGATTCCTCTGTTTCCTTCCTGACGAGAAAGGCTTTGAAACATGAGTGGGGGCATCACTAAAGCCCGTCATTACACAGAACGTTTGTAATGAGCCTTGCCCAGCAGAGGTAGCAGGATTATAGGCTTTAGGGAGTATATAAGGTGCCTCGTTTGTAGCAAACTACCTGGAGCCAAGCCGGCAGTAGGAGGCAGGCGTTTAGTTTATGATATGACTGGAAATCCTGTTTACAACCAGTTTTAATAACACTGTGTGTAAATGAGCAAAGGAGGTTGATAGACTCTATTTACAGTGATTAAATTTGATTGACCTGTCAAGACATGCTAATGTATGGACCATATACTATCCACAGTTTATTTTCATACTAAAAATGACTTTTATAGTTTTCTGAGTGTTGATTGGCCATGCAGAACTCCACTGTGGATGTTGTGTGTGGTTGTCAGGGGGTTGCTATTAGGTTGCTAAAGTGTTTGGGTGGTTTTTAGTGCATTGCTATGTCGTTGTTAGGTGGTTACTTACTGGCCCAAGTAAAAAGAGTGCACCCCAAATTTCTGTAATATTCTGGTCTCTATAGATATGATTCAGATCTCTAGTCTAAGAAAGTTTTTAGCTGTTGTATTGTTTGCCAGGCAAAACTTGTAAATCTAGTTATCATATGAGGGTATCAATCAGTACCACTGCAGGACAAGTGAAGTTCTGAATAGATAGCATAACAGATTTAGAACAAACAATAGTAAAATATAAAAAATACTAACAGTATTGCTTGGCTTAGCATTAAGCTATATATTGCTCTATCCTGTTAAATATTTGGAGATTTGACAGTGATTATGCTTTTTAAACAACACTATTTGTCATGTTTTAGCGCATGGTCTTTGGTAACACATAACTTCACTTAAGCCAGAAGCTGTACAGCCATATGGTTTGCAGTGGTTTCCTGCTTCTGTGATAATTGCTAAAGGTTCATGTTCTAATGTGCATACTAGTCACTGTTTTAAGGTAACATCAAACCTTGTCAGGAGATGATCCTCCAGCTGGTGAGGATACACACACTCAGCTCCTTGAGCCTTTGAATAATTTCAGATGATCAGAGATCCTAAAGCCATTAATAAAAAAAGTGCAGTTCTGGAAAGAAACACTTTTCTTTTTGACTGTATTTTAAGGATTGAGATAAACACCTTCTAACAAGGTACAATTACTGCTTCCCTTCTGATTCCTGGGCTTTGATCGTGGAAGACTGTGTATCATATTTGTTAGGCCACCTGAGTGAGGGCTAAACATGATCATGAGGAAAGGAGGCTCAGTTAACTGAGTATTATTAGAAACAAAGAAATAATTTGTGTTTTGTACAAAATACAAGCACATAACTACAATAAATCGGAGGGGGGGAAAGCAAATGTTGGGAAAGTTCCCAAAAAAGAGATTGTACTTATGAATAAAAAGACTTCCACATAAACAAGAAAAATGTAGAGAAAAGACAAGAAAAAAGTAAATAAATTGATAAGGGGAAAATCAGAATTTAAAAAAAAGCTGCAAGAAAAAGGAACTAAACATTAGTAATGAAAACAAATAGATGGTTATATGGGTTACGGAAATTCAAGGAGATGAATTTTGAGGAAGTATGAGGGCTACGACAGTTCTTTAAACAGCATTCCCACAATGAATGTGCAATTGTGAATGACTTATGGCTATTCCAATCATTTGTGGGTACTGGACAAGGATTTAAAAAAATAATTTTATAGAAATTGCACTTAAAATTTTGTATAGAACAGAAAGTTCTATGACTGAAAAACACAATTTGAACATTAATGTTTCCATGACCGTGGGAACCCTGTAAGGTACCATAAGGACTTGTACTGTTTATAAAATTGTGCATTGGCCCAAAGATGTCAAGAAGACAGAACTTTGCATTGAAATAAAATGACTTGTGGCCTGTTAACAAATAACACATTTTCCAGCAGGAATAATATTCAGGCCTGTAGGTATATTTTGTTGTGGTGCTTGTTTCCAATAAGGCAGCAGCTACTATTTACACTGCTGTGATGCTGATATGCTATATTATAAGAACTTTGCTTTTGTAAGCTTTTATTGATGTCTACGGTGGACATACAGACTTACCTGTAACGCAGTTCAATCTGAAACACTACTGTCATGTAAATCGCATGTCAGAAGTATAATTTACAGGCCCTTTCAGCCCTCGAAAACTGATATGGACGTTGATTTATTTGCAGTTGATTTGATGTGAGTGACACGTGTGCTCTGAAATAGGATTGTATTCGCCTATGAATTTAGCAAGTGCATGAATGCCAGGCAAACAATAAGTACTGAGGTGCTAATTTCGTGCAAATATAACCGTGCGAACTCAGTCCATTTACCAAAACCCGTTTACCGAGACGTAATTGTAGACCGACCTTGTCCATCAGCCATTGGTTAAAGCGTCCACGGAGGTATTAATTGGCTTAAAATAGTGATGAAATGTTCCTCTCGAGTGTGACCTCCATGTGGAGAGCGTGAGGTGGGAGCGACTGAATGAAGTGAGACGTTAGCATGCAGCTGTCGCAGAATGGACCGGTCGCGTGCTGGAAAAGTCTCAATTGCCGCGCGCGGGAGCCAGGTAGAAGTGGCGGGAGGCGCGTGGAGAGGCCGTTTAGGGCCATCGCGTGCAATTACCGACAATCAGAGGAGAGCTTAAGACCTGTTCTCAACAATGGGCCCAGTTCGCCACGTTCATGGGGGTGAGCGCTCAAGTGCGTGCAGCTGCGCGCTCACATTCAGCACCAGCAGCAGAACTACCTCGCGCTCCGCAATTAGCAACTCCTTTCAGTTTTAACCATTTAAAAAAGCAGTATATTATCCACTGTTTTTGGTTGCGGAATCATCTCTGGGAATGGGGAAGAGAAAAGGGGAGTGATTGATTGCCGCGTGAAGTAGGCTGCTGAGAGCGAATTTTCATAATTGTTGTCTTAATCCCGCACGTAAAAAATGTAAATTGCCTTTAACCGCATATGAATGAGTTTGACACATGCCTTTTGGAGCTCGATTTTTGACCAAACAATCCGAAAGGAAAAAATAGCACGTATCTCATTTACAAGTGTGCTATAGGCTACGCGTGCAGACTTCTTGCTTTTATTATGAACCTAGAAAGCGTTTTTCTTTATCAGAATGAGTGAAATATGTATTATCTGCCCTTGTAGACGACCAAGAACACGAGTGGATTGTGCGTACCTGCAGGAAGAGCTGGGATGAGTTCATTGGCCACTGTCCAAGAGGCAACACGCTGGAGGAGAATTGAGAACACTCACACACACAGGCAGGCCAAATCTGAATGACATATTAATAATGCAGCTTTATGACGTTAATTCGTTTTGCCAATGCTTTCTTTTCCAAAACTGAACTAAGAGTTTTAATAAGTGATCATAAGAGTGATAAGTAAATATTATCACATTAAAAATATATTTAAAAATGAGTGATTATCACTAAACTGACATCTGTAAAACTGCAACCCACAGAAATCATGTAATATGAATGAATGCTTAATGGAAAAATAGAAATAAAACATGAATTTGCATTAAGTGTTATAAGTATATCTATATGCAAAAGCTTTATATGTACGAAATATATATATTTTTTAAAAATGTTTTAATATATACTACAGTTAGCATTATTATTACACAGTTAGCATTAGCACTAAATGTGCTTTATTTTCTGTTTTTTATTATTATTATTATTATAAGTGAAAAATATCTCAACTGAACAGCTACATAACAAACCACAAAAGAATAAAATATCATTAAATGAGTTTAGGTTTTAAAAGTCATTACATACAGTTTATTTTAAAGACAAAATGATGTTTGAATAGATAATAGTGGGTTTGGGTACAAACTCAAGTAAGAAATGTTACATCATTGCTGTATTCTGCCCAAGCAAATGACCAGTACTGCGATAACATTCAACAGCTGAATACAGCTCAGTGTTCTAATGACGTGAATGAGTCAGATTCCTGCTCAGCTCGAAAAAAAAAATAAGTGATGCAAAATCTTCTGTAAAAAAAAAAATAAGTGTGTGCATGAGTGAAGAGAGGATAGTTTAGTAAAAGATTATGTCTCAGTGGGTCTTTTGAAACAGAACACGGGATACAAGATCATTCCTGTGATGTGGACTGACAGGGAATTCCTGTATGTGATGGTGATGGAATCAGTGATGGAGTCATTACTGCACACACTGACCCGTGAAGGGTCTGCCAGCTCCTCCATCAGCCTGTGATTGCTTCCTGCTTCACTCGTGCACACAGACCCAACACTGGCCCATGCATTTATACCAGAGACAGAAATTAACCAGGGCTCAGGGCAAAAAATGCCACTGAAAGTGACAAAAAAAAACTTATTTTTTCTTTTCGAATGATCTGTTATCTGTAATATTTGGTATATGCCATAATAGTCTATCCTAACTTGTCATCATAACAGTCAGATATACAAAAGAGTGTTCCCTTCCAAAAAACACTGTGCTGGGAATACCATGGCAGTGAATGAAACATATTTAGATGTATACTTCAAAAAATAAGTGTGTAAAAAAAAAAAAA